ACAAGCAACTCCAAATGGATTCACCACGTTGAATTTATGTGTGCTTACACAGAGAGATAAATATATATAGAGCCATTATAATCAAAGAAAAAAGAGACCATCAATTTGAGACAGAGTCAGAGGAATCATGGGAGGGACTGGAGGAACGAAAGAGAATTGGAGAAATGTTGTAATTAGGTTTTACTTATAATTTAAAGATTTAACTTAAAATTTCAAGACTTTTTTTGAGATTTAAAAGTTGTACATGAAAAATTCTAAAAATAATTAAATATAAAATAAAAAATTATCAAACTTTTCTCTTAAAGTGGCTTTTAAAAATCCCATAAAGTATTAATCAACTACACTTCCTGTGAATACCTGCAGGTTCTGGAGTCCTTGGACATTTAATTGACATAGTTGTGTTCTCTCCTGCTCACTGGCTTTTCCAGTTCCAAGCCTGTGTTTTAAGCATTTTCAGTCAGGGCAAATTAATAAATCCCCCTATTCATAGACACCTGCTGATTCAGAACGAATCCTTTCTAATTGTTTTGAGTGCTCATGGGTGTTCACTGTGGTTCTTGGCCAAATACCCAGCCATCAGAGAAAATTGCCCTTCCACACCCTGCTAAGCCCAGAGTCAAAGAAAAATTATTTTGGTGATCAGCATCGCCAAATAGGACCTTTTGCTTAGTGTGTGTCTTTAAATGAAGAGCTGTGTGTTGGTTAAAGTCAACAGTTTTCACACAGTAGAATGTCAGATGCTGCTGTGCTTTTCAGTCTTGCACAGGTAGCATCCTTATTGGAATTTATGATCCTCATTAGCAAGCTTTAAAATCCCAATCTGTGTTATTTCCTATATGAAATTCCCTTTTCAGTCCATTTCTGTCTCTTTTATCTCTACCTTTGCAAAATGAATATATATTTTTTGATTTAATCTTCTTGCTGTTCTTCATTACAGTTCTTTGTGTTAGCTCTTTCTTTTTGTGGAGAAATATTCATGCTGCAATTTAGAAAAGAATTTTGATGTCATAAAATAAAATGTCTTGCATAGTTTATTGCTGTTCTGGACATAGAAGTCCAGGATTCGGTATTGTCTTTGGCCTGCAAGATTGCTTGAAATTCCCAGAATGCCTGGAGGGAGCTTCTGTGTGGGAGATTTGTCCGATTCAGAAAAATGATACAGGTTGGGTCCTCATGACAAGAAAATGGAATGTTTTCACAAGCAAACAGATACTTTAGAGTAAGAAGGGGAACTTTCTGTAGAGCCCCCATGCATCCAGGGAGCCCCATACTGCTCTTGGTGCTGAGTCAGGGCATCCACTTATCTCAGAGAGATCTCAACAGTGCTAAGTGAAGAGCATCCCATCATGGTTTATATTCACTTGCTAAGATTAGAGGCTTTGTCATGTGGCTTGTGCAAGAAGGGTTTTAACTGAAAGGTTTTTATTACTAAATATGGATATTCTGTCTGCATTCATGTATGTCTCCCATAGGCATACAGTGCCTAAGATGGCCACAAGAAGTCAGATTCCTTGGGACTGGTGTTACAAATGGTTATGAGCACCATGTGGGTGCTGGCAATTAAACCCAGGTCCTCTTGAACAATACCCAGTACTCTCTCTTCAGTACTAAGCCATCTGTCCAGCCCCTCAGCCATAGGATTGTGTCTACTTTCTTCAGTACTGAGGAGCAAAGGAAGTGCTGAGTGTTCTGCCACTGACCAGCAACCCAGTGCTTAGATCCAGAGCCTCAACAAACAATCCCAAGAAAATGGCTTTAGGAAATTAATCAGAGGCAGAAGTCTGAAGACATCCCCATCTTCTGCAAGGCTCTAGGAGTTCAAAGTGAATAGCTGTATTTCATGTGCTGTGGTGGCCACTGTGACCCAAGCTAAAATGGAAGACACATAGCAACGCTGTTGCTATTCCCTCAGAAGATGTAGACAATGCTGCTGCCTATGTGCCTGCTCACACCTACCAGCTGACATCTAGATCAGAAAAATAATAAAAACCTGGCCCTCATTTTCGGGGAATCTCCCACATTTTATAAAAGGTCAGTTAACCCAGCCAACTGTCTGCAGATCTCAGACCTCATCAGAGAAGTTTCGTTGTTCAGTGGAAGGCAGTTAATGCAAAATGTTATAATTGGTCAAATACAGAAAATGAGTGTCTATGGACTGCTGGCCACCAGTGGGACATCCATATCCTATTTATTACACTCTCTTGCCACCAAGACCTCCAGTCCCGTGATGGAAGAAGGGTCAGAAAAGACTGTAAGAGGCAGAAGTTGGAGAGGACAGGGTTGAAATAGTTTCTTCTGCACAGGCAGGACTGCTCCATGCACATGCTAGCAGCTGTCTGCCCAAGACCGAGATAGTCAGCATTGCAGCTTGGAGGAGGGAGGAGTTCGCGAGCTTCTACCCCTAACTGAGGAGCACTGGACAATCAATGGCTTCTAGAAGACGAATAGTTGCTCTTTCTTAGGGTGTGGCCCTTGGTAGGTTGAGTGACCCCTACAGGATGGCCCACTCTGCACAAATATATAGACAGCACAAAAAGTACACTTTGGGTTATAAGAAAAAGAAGGAAGACATATTGAGATCGGGGGATGAGGTGGCTATGTGGGGAGTCCGGGAGGAACGGAGGGGTGAATATGATCAAAATATGTATAAAATTCTTAAGGAATTAATGAAAATGTTATATTAAAAAGAAACTAGGTCTCTGTAACGCTCCTCCAGCTCTCAACCACACCAGTCTGTTTCTATTTTATTTCTCACAGAATTCTGCAAGTTGAAGCTTGCATCTCGCCAGATCTCCCACTGCATGCCCTGTTTATGTAGACATCTCCACTGTGGCGTTCAAACCACAGAACAGACTCGCTAACCGCACTCCCGTCTTCCTTTGTTCCATGCCCTTCTAGAAGTAAAGCTTTATTAAAAGGAGACATACAAGTATTCTTCACTCACACCTCAATTAAAGGCTTTAGAAATGGTGCCACTTAATTGCAGCTTATAATACAAGGTAAACAGTGTATGCTAATTCCTCTGAGCTCCTTCTCATCTTTCATTTAAATTTTCTTTCTTTCTTTTTTTAAATATAGCTCTTTGTTGTGTCAAGAAGCATTTACATAGCACTTTCCATTTATTTACTCTCCCAAATTGGTTTCTTCCCCCTTTGATCAGTAAATACAGTGGGGAAGGTTCTGTGACAGCTGGGAAGGACAGGACAGCATCCTCTTCCCTCTAGGAGGTTATATTGAGTGTATGGTGTGTGGGTGGGTTTGTGGGTGGGTGTGAGTGTGGACTGGGGGTGTAGGTGTGTGAGAGTGTGAGGGTGGGGTGCAAATGAGGGGTATGGAGGGGTTGTGTGGGGTATGTGCGAGTGTGTGGGTGGGTGTGGGGTATGAGTGAGTGTGTAGGTGGGTGTTGGGTATGTACAAGTGTGAGGGTGAGAGTGTATGAAGTGAGGAATCAGGTGTGTGTGAAAGTGTGCAACAGAGTGCAATAGGCAGGGCCGTGGACATCAACAACCAACTGCAAGTCAAGTCAGAATGAGGAGGTGGTTTGTAAGAACATATCCAAGAGGTATGTGGGAGGACGCAGTCTCCCCCATGGGTTAGTACTGGTGGCATTGTGATGGGCAGAGCAGAGGACTCATTCTCTGCAGAGGCTGAGCCTTGGGTAGGGGATGCAGCCCACTGTCCATGAGGGAGACGGCCAGTCTGTCCGTATAAGGAAGGAATTAGAGGTTTCCTAGGGTTGACTGATGCTCACACTCCATGGTCAAGTGAAAGCTTGCACTTTCTAGGATGCACATGGTCCCAGGTAAGATGGATTGAGTCTCTAGGTAAGAAGTCAGCCTCTCAATGGACCACTCTCTTGCTGAAGTGATCCATTTAGTTCAAACCTTGGGAAGATGGTATCTGGGTCTCAGTGTGAGACTTTATTTTCATATTCTTTCAAATATCCATTTATTTAATCAGTAAATACAATAAAAAATTAATCAAAGTTAAACTTGTTAACAATGAATCTAGAGAGCATGTGATCATCTCACAAGAAATGATGCTTTGGTGAGTTCTAAGATGGTGTCTTGGACCCGTTTACAGATTTTCAGTATGATTCCCCTAAGTTTCTGACCACTTTTCTTCTTCCTTCCTTTAATGAGTTTAATGAAACAGGGTCACAAACAGCTGGTAGCCCTTTGCTGATGCAAAAACACAGCTCCCTTCTCCAATGGGACATTTATCCTGGAGACAGATACAAGTGGCCCCGACCCAAGAGCATAGGTTCAGGTTGCTCCAAATGCCATGTTCCAATACAATAACAATTTCAAATGTTTTCATAGTAAGAGAACAAAGAAAGTTATAAATCAAGGCATTAGTAGAGTTAAAGTACAGTGCTAAAAAGACTGGGTAGTTGGGTAAAGGCAGAGCAGAAAGGTTTCTGTTCCAGCCTCAAATGTTACACAATAGCTTTCTTCCTTTTGCATTGCTGGAAGTGATGGGGTATGTTTATACATTCCAGAAAAGGGGGTTTTCAGCTGAAAAATCCCAAGCACATGATGTCAAACACAGAGGTGGTTAATAAATATTTATTTTGTAAGCTAGAGATAAGGCAAGATAAATAACCCTGGGCCCCAAATGTCCCACCCCTCTGTGATCATTGACATTTTAATCAATCAGCCTGAGCAATCTTTAACATATGTGTAACTTTTTAATGTTCCTCTTTGGGAAGGGAGCTGGAATTAGAGCTGAAAATAATCTTGAACTTCTGATCTCCGTGCCTCCAATTCCCAAGTGCTGGGACCATAGGCGTATAGCACCAAGCCAGGTTTGGTGGCTTATTTTCTAAAACACTAAAAATTGTTAATACTTTCATTTATCCATTTTCAGTATTTTGTGACAGGATGCTGTGTTTCAGCAATTGTGGTAGAATTTCAAAATAAGGTATTTCGCAAGCATTCCTGGTGCTGTGTGCGTGGATGACCTTTGCTTTGTATGTTAAAAAATAAAGGAAACTGGATAAGTGTATTTCTGGGAGAACCTAGAGCACTTAAGGGCCTGAGTTTGCTGTGCTGCCTGGTGATCAAAGAGAAGGATGGTTCCAGAGCTTGCCTAAAGCTGGCCCTGAACTAAATCCAGGAGCAACAAAGGTAAGGAGACCTGTGAAAAGTGAGAATCTGAGGATGATTGACAGATGTGACCAAAGACTAGAGAAAAGAAAGTTAGAATGGATGGTCTCACTGAAGTGAGGAATGGAAGTCGGCTTCCTGCTGTCAGGCCTCAGGTTTTACAGCTTCCTGGTCTGAGTTTGAACTCAGAGATAGCTCTGTGTAGAAAGAGAAAGTGTAAACTCCAAAGCAGGACTGTCTCCAGCCACCAATTCACAGTCCAGACAACTCCAGCTCCCTGGTTGGGAGCTCACCATGGCACACTTTCAGAGCCCTGGTTTTGTCTTACAGAGTCTCCGTTCAGCTTCACCTGGCCAAGGTGGAGGCTTTCTGTCGATCCCTTAAAATATAACTTCTGTGACAAGCACTCTGCAACTTCTGATAATTCTAATATAAAAATAAACAATTCTTGGACCTGTGAGATGACACAACAAGCAAAGGCCCTTGTAGCTAAGTCTGATGACCTGACTTCGATCTCTGGGACCCACACAGTGGAGAGAGCCAATTGTTAAAAGTCTGACCTTCATATGCCCATCAAGGCATGCACATAGTCCACACATATAGCACATATATGTACATATGCACATATATATACATATACATAATACACACACAAAATAACTACATGTAATAAAAATGTTTGCAGTACTAGATAAGCAACTCTTCCTCAGTCCTCTAGGTTTATCTGAATTAAACGAGCATATATAAGGCAAGAGAAGTCACTGTTCATAAAGGTCTACACAGAATACTTGCTCGTAGCACACAATGTTAAGCTGTGTCATTCTATTTAGTTCTCAGAGCTGACAGAGGAAATTCTTACTTTATTATCTTTTTACAAATGTGTAAACTTGGACAGAGAAAGTTTAGGTGGCCTGCTGTAGGCCACACAGCTCATAACTGCTATAGCAGAGCCAGCCACCACACCAGCTAGCCTGGCCCTGGGGTTCAGACTCTCAGCCAATCTCCTATAAAGAAATTCTGCAAACAAAAGAATGAGTGTGTCTGACCGTTGTGGTTTTGGTAGCTCACTCAGCACTGGAAGCATTCAAAGCCATCTGTTGTGTTATGATCGTATCTTTAGAATGTTGCTGGATAACCTCAGGTAATTTCCTGTGATATTATATCCTGGTCTCGCTGCCAGATGGCCAGGAAGCTGTTTCTAATATTTATCTTGACTCTCCCTTTATGTGATAGAGAGGCATTGTCACAGACTTGGCCTTACAAGACATACATACACACTAGTGGAGAGGTGGTTCTGTGGTTAAGAGCACTTGCAGAAGACTAGGGTTCGGCTTCCAGCACCCATATGGTGGCTCATAAGTACCTGAAACTCCAGTTCCAGGGGATCTTATGCACTCTTCTGACCTCCATGGGCACTACATGCACATGGTACACATAAACATGAAGGCGAATACTTATACCTATAAAATCGTTTTTTAAATGTTTTTTTTTAATGTATTCTCTGAACTGAATAATTCTCCTGAGAAAACAAATGAATGCTCCTTTCTCAAATCCAAAGTCGTCTTTTTTCATGTTTGGGTAAATACTTATTTTAGCTCAATTTCTTTTGTTTTTATTGGGTCTTCCTTTGCTTTGTTTTGTTTTAGTGGTGATGGGAACAGGATTTCATGTATATGTAGCCTAGGCTGGCCTCAAGCTCAGCCATGTAGCTGAGGATGACCTTGAACCCCCTAATCTCCTGCCTCCACCTCCACAGTTCAGTTTATGTACCATGGTTTATGCTGTTGCTAAGGATGGAACACAGGGCTGTGTTGATGCTGTGTTCGAGCATTGTGCCAGCTGAGCTACACTCTCAGATGCTCTCTCTGTTATCATTTAGTTTAGACAAAGATGCTAGATGAATTAGTTCTCTGTATTCACTCCTCTTTTCCCTAAACTCTTCCCTTCAACTTCCCATCCCTCAGTTTCTCAGAAATTGGAACCAACTCATAGTCAATGTCTTGTGCTCAGTATAATGTGATTGTATTCCCTATAGAAAGTGTTTAGGCCCAGTGTGTGCACTTCCTGTTCTGCCTCCCTGCTCACCAATCTCTACACTCATTGGCCAGCTCTGCATCCCCTTCCTAAACTCTTAAGGTTTTTTGTTTGCTTGCTTGCTTGTTTCACTCCCCAGATCCAGCACAGTTTCTCATCTTTCTCTCTATACTCCATTGGCTTTTTCCTCTTCTCTTATGGTCTGAAAAATTATGTAGATAACAGTGACTACCAGTGTTTTATATCCAGCCCAGTCTTCTTTTCTGAACCCATATGGATTTATTCAACCTCAAACTAGACAGCTTCTCTTAGAAACTTCATCATAATATCAAGCTTAACATCTTCAACTAAATTCTTTACATATACACTCATTTGGCATCAAACTATAGTATCTGTAGCTATCCACCATTGAAATGATATCTATTTATAACTCCATCTCTCCAGGTTCTCAGACAAAGAATAGGAACAATGTTATAGATGCTACTTCCTCCCTGCCCACATCCTCCCAGCCCCACTTCAGTGACTATTCTGCACAGTGGCACCAATACTGTCTCAACTGAGATGATTCTCCTGAATCCCAGCTCCCACATCTGTCACTCTTTCTATAACTCTCCAGCAGCACTTCTCCCCTTTGGGGGTCATATATCAGGTATCCTACATATCAGATATTTACATTACAATTCATAACAGTCTCAAAATTACTGTAATGAAGTAATAATAAAAATAATTCTATGGTTGGGGTCACCACAACATGAGGAACCGTATTAAAGGGTCTCAGCATTAGGAAGGTTGAGACCACTGCTCTAGAATCTGTTTTACACACTGTGGTTAGGGGCTCCTCTGCACATGAAGGTCAAATCACATCTTTCTGTTAGAACTCAAACAATATTATATCAGGTTCATTGCAAAATTCAGGATTTTACAAAGTCCCTTACTGGTCTCTTTAGCTTCCTAACATCATCTCTTTCCCCTAAGCTCTGAAGAGTTTCTTCTTTAAGGTATTTTCATTAGGTGCCATGTATATAGTTCAATCGGGAATTGCTTGCCTAATATTCCAAAAGCCCTGGGTTTACTCCCCAACACTTCATAGAACAGATGTAATGGTATATCCTAGGACTTGGTGAGAGAAGCTACATAGTAGGCTTGAGGCTAGTATATGCTGTAGGAGATACTGTTTTAAACAAAGAAAAAAGGGTAAAGATAATTGCTTGTCTCTTTCCTCCAGATGAAATATCCATCCCCCAGATACCTGAATGGACAGTCTCATTTTTATTCAAAGTTGGACTCAACAATGATGAGCTGAGCAAAACTTAACTCAATCCCCTTATTTACTCACATGAAGTTCCACTCCTTTAATCCCAGCACTCGGGAGGCAGAGGCAGGCGGATTTCTGAGTTCGAGGCCAGCCTGGTCTACAGAGTGAGTTCCAGGACAGCCAGGGTGACACAGAGAAACCCTGTCTCGAAAAACCAAAAAAAAAAAAAAAGAAAGAAAGAAAAAGAAAGAAAAACAAAAACAAAAAAAGAAAAACCAAAAAAAAAAGTTCCACTCTTATACTCCCCTTCCTGAATTTAATTTTTTTCAAAGTTACTTATATATTCTTAACTGACAAACTATTGATTTATTTTGTTATCCTTGTCTGATTCCCTCTAAAAGACTATAAATGCCAATAGTTCAAGGATGCAGAGATATTTTATTTACATTCCAAATGCCTCTAATGGTGCCTTGCACATCGTGGGAATTGATGAGCAGACGCTGAATGAATAGGCACAAAGATAATTACCTTCCTCACAATTCTGTGCTGGAGACTGGTCAGCACAGTCCGTTGCTTTAAGTCTGCCTTTTACTTCCCAGATCCTCCCCCATATTTATCATACAATTGCAACTCTAATTGTTATACTACCCCAAAAATCTAAAAATAGTTTGTCTTAGAAGGAAAAACAAGAAGCCTGAGTCCTTCAGTGATGAAAGGGCCTGGCCTCTGACAACTACATGATGTAACTATCAGATTATTTACTCCGTTATATAAATTCTTGACCTATCTTGCAGATGTTCTATAAGATTTACAGTCTGTTGCTGTTGATGTTACTGCTGCTGTTGTTATTATTGTTGCTATTTTGAGACAGAATCTCTACCTTTGAACTCTCTGTGTACCCGAGGGTGTCCTTGAACTCCCGATCCTTCTACCTCCATCTCTTCATGCTGGAATTACCAGGACACATTATCCTTATAAATTTGTATAAGTATAAAGTCCTCAGCTGCCACTCTACACTCTGAGTCTACAGTTAAAGAGAACAGATGATGTTTTGGTTTTCTCCTATAACTAGCAACAAGCACATGGATTATTCTGGAGACACATGGGGGTTTTATTCTGCAACAGGAAGGTAACTTTCTGACAAAGGAAGTGCGTGGCAGCTACAAACGCTCATCCTTGAGTCAAGCATGATTTTATGTTAGTACTTCATCAATATCTTTAGCAATCACAGTTATTTTGAAAACAATTTTTAATTTGAGGGTCAGTTGAAGGGTAGGAAAATGGCATATTCTATCTTGGTTTTTATTGAATGATTCTATGACCTCTTGACAGCAGAATTTGGTGTATTTATATTTGATTAAAACAAGCCCTCATTCCTCTGTCAAGAGAGGGCATACAGGAGGACTTACTCTTACAAGAGAGACAACACACCGTGCCCAGCTCCTCTACTTTACAATTAGTGAGCTTTGTTCAAGTCAGAGCCAAGTCCATAGGCATACATGCTCATATCAATAAAGATCTTATGATTTAGTTGTAATGCCATATACCCTACTCTATTATTCAACAAATACTTAAATATTTAATGCCAATTCTGCCGTGTATGTTTGACATAAAGTCATTAGGTAGTAGTCCAAGTTTTCTGTTGTTCCTATTGAACTTAATCACAGCAATATAACCTCTTGATGGTGTTGTTGGAATTTAAGAAACCATTTATAAAGTATGGAGAGTTTTT